CCTAAAAATTTTATAGCCACTTTTGAAAGAGATGTATCTTTGCTCTGGAAACTGTTATTGAGTATGTTAAAGCTGTTATTGAGTATGTTAAAGTTAAAAGTGTTATTGAGTATGTTAAAGAATGTATGTTATTGAGTATGTTAAAGATTTGCTCTGGGAACTGTTATTATGTTAAACTGTTACTGAGAATGTTAAACTGTTATTGAGTATGTTATTGAGTATGTTAAAGCTTTGCTCTGGAAACTGTTATTATGTTAAACTGTTATAGAGAATGTTAAACTGTTATTGAGTATGTTAAACTGTTATTGAGTATGTTAATGAAATGCTTCTAAAAAATAAAAAAGTAGGAAACAGCATATTTTAAAATGAAATGGAGATCTTTAAAGGGTAAAAACTCATTCAATTTTATGCCTTACAGGATTTATATTGAGTTCAATATTGGATAACTGTATTAATTCAACTGTGAACCTATAAATTTACAGCCACTTTTGAAAGAGATGTATCCTTGCTCTGGAATGTGTTACTGAATATGTTAAAGCTGTAATGAAATGCTTCTTCTAATAATGTGGTTATTAAATATAACAAAGTTTAAAAATTATTGAGCTTTTGTAAACACACCATAGCCCAGGCTTCCTGTGCAAACAAGGGATTCACAATCTTGATGGTAGAGAAGGACTTGGGAAATGAACTCCAGCTGACACCTATTCCTGGTTTTAAATGTGCAATATATTTAGAAATATCCCATTTGGAAAACTGGTTAAAGTGATCATTCTGCCCAACTCTTCACAAGTAGCCATAACTTCATGTAACTCTACAGGTCCCTCAAAAAGACTAATAAACATCATAGTAGTGTGGGATTTCACACTACCAAAGATTCAATAATAAATCTAGTTACAATTCTTTCAATTATTTCTCTTTCTAGCCTTTATTCTTTTATTTCCAGCTCAGTAATCTGGAAAGCTATCACGTCTGTGTCTCAGGATCTATCAGTACTCATTTTATTCTCATTCCCTTTCTGGTGCTTCTGGATAGATCAGGTCAAGATGTTACAAGTTGTCCTTGATGAGGTGATGTCTTTACAGAACAAATGGTATGTGTCTCATGATGTAGGTACATTGATTCCTCCAATGGACCACAGCATACCTGAGTGTTATCTATGCTTGGCTATGGTCTTACCCCCAACAAAGTTCCTCATGTAGAGGACAATAAAAACTCTAGAGGTGGAAACAGTGAATGAGAAAGGAAGGCAGTAAAACAATAAGACCAGAACTGTTTGTCTCTCCATTTTCTTACCTGTTTTCAGGTAGGTAAGGCAGAGATACTCAGAGGCCCTCCTGCTGTCTAAAACTTCTCCAGGACTTCTCCAGGTTCTTTTGTTTGTTATAGTTTCTCTTTTTCTCTTCAGTGTGCACTGGGCTTGGCATGGGTCTTTTTGTTTTGTTTTGCTTTGTGGTTTTTTTTTTTTTTTTGCTTCCCCTATTACCCCACAAGGAAATAACTTTCTGGCTGTTTAGGAAAAGCTGAGCTTTCAATGTGGATATTTTTTCCAAATTACCTAATCTTCTTGGATAAGCCAAGGATTGGGAAGAAATAAATCTTTAAATGTGCAAGGTGAGTATTTCAAGTCTCCAGCAGACCTTCTGTGCTCATGTTGTGCCTTACTTCTAAGATTAAAGAAGAATCATGTGAAAAGGTCATTATCATCAGGAATCTGGGGAAGAGATGTACAGTCGTTCCTTTGTCTATAAGAGCCTCTCATTTGGAAATATGCTATAAACACTATTAAATATTTGTTCCACAGACTTGATAAAATGCTTTCCTTTTCATTATGGATCAAAATCATTTTCATCCTGGCTTTGACAGTTACTCTTCATAATGGTGAGTAAATTTTCTAGTATCCTTTCCCAAGTGGCAGGTAATGCTGGAAGCATCTATTACAATTCCTTAGTGGTTGAAATTTTAAATTGGGATTGGAAATAGTAAACTGGTGACATGAACCAGATCATGTTGCAGAGTTTTTAAAAATTACACCAATCACTTGCTTTTACTCATTTCCTATCTTAGAGAATTGGGGGAAGAGGTATGCTTCTGAACATGTAGTAAGAAACTGCATATAATAGTATCAGCTAGTCAGTAGACAGAGGCAGGAGGATTTTTGAGGTCTGGAAGTCATGGTCAGCTGGGACAACACAGTGAAAGCAAGAGTCTTAGAAAGGAGATAAAAAAGAATAAGTATTTGACTTTAGACATTTTTGTTTTTACTATGCTTTGGTTAAATATATTTACCCCCCATCTCATTGTGGAGGTCAGATACCTTAATTGTACTTATGTAAAGTGTAGAAAATGATGATGTCTTCCAGATCTGGTGTTCCTTGACCATATCATTTTTTAAAAAGACTGAATTTTCTAAGTCAAGGTCTATGTAAGGAGGCAACTCATGGATTCCTCCACTGACAAATTCTGAACTTCAGAATAAAGTAATTGTGAGACATTAGATAATCTCAAGATATATCTTACCAATATTTAACCATTAATTCCTTCTTATATCACTTCATGTTCAGCAATTTAAGTGGTTTTAAGGGATTATCCTGTGAGTAGGGTTTCTTACGTATTTTTATAGTAACTTGAAGTATTTATTGAGCATACATCTATTTTTCTTCATTGTGGTTGAAAGAGATATATCTTTGCTCTGGAAACTGTTATTGAGTATGTTAAAACTATTATTGAGTATGTTAAAGTATGTTATCAAGTATGTTATGGGTATGTTATTGAGTATGTTAAACTGTTATTGAGTATGTTAAAAAAATCAGGACTATAACTAACAGAAATGAGGAAACAGCATCTTCATTGTTTCTATGTACGATAATAGCATTTGAAGAAATCATAAGAATCTTGTCAAAATACTCATGAGGAATAAATATTGAACAAGGGAACCAGATATGGATAACCATTAAGAAAGCCATGCCTTTGTATTTTGGAGTCAGTTTAGTCAGTAAAATACTTGCCTTGGAAACATGGAGGTCTGAATTTCATCTCCAGAACCCATGTAAAGACTTGGCCATGGTAGCGTGAGCCTCTAATCCTAGTGCTCGGGAGGCAGAGAAAGAAGGATCCCTGGGGCTTACTGGCCAGTCAGGCCTGGAGAGTTCCAAGCCTGTAATGGACTGTGTTTTAGACACACACACACACACACACACACACACACACACACACAGAGAGAGAGAGAGAGAGAGAGAGAGAGAGAGAGAGCGGGAGCCATGCCTCCTTACCTCCCTTCTTACACTTACTAATCATAATGTTAAAGACAAAACAGGAATGGGTTCTGCTCTTCACCACCATCAGCATGGCATCACAATGAAATACTAATACACAGAGATAACTAAGATTTACGAGAACTGCTTGGGAGGTGGGAACAATCAAAGATATAAATCGAACAAATGGAAACAATTCTACAATCTTACAGTGAATATTTTAATTATAACACCTGAAATTTATTTACAGATCAAACACTCATTCAAATTCAAGCATCACTTCCTTTGAGAAATGGTCCTCCTGATAGTGAGTTCTCCACATAGTGAGTTTTGCCTCCTCTGTGTGCTCTTTTTCCTGATTTTATTTCCTTTACAGCACTGTCTTAGCTTGCTTTTTTATGACTGTGATAAAAACACTGACCAAATCCAACTTGGGGAGGAAAGGGTTTATTTGGATTAAAGCACAGCCGGTCATCAAGGGAAGCCAAGGCAGGAACTCAGGAAAGGAACCTGGAGCACAGACCACGGACGTACACTGATTACTTGGCTTGAGGCCTGACCTATGTCCAGCCTGCTTTCCTAAAAATACAGGACTGCCTGCTCAGGGGTGGCACTGCCCACAGTGGACTAGGCCTTCCAACATCCCTCAGCAATCAAGGAAATGCATCACAGACACGGACATAGGAAAATTCAATGGAAATAATCCATCTATTGAGGTTTCATGTAACCAGCTGTGTCAAGTGGACAACTAAAGGAATCTAGCACAAGCACATATCACCATCTGAAATAATCTTTTTGTCCTTTTGTCTCCTATAGGATAATCTGAGGTTATCAGGTCCCGGGTATAAATACTCTGGTTCTCTGCTGTATTCTCAATATCTACGACAGTGAGAGCTCTGTCCATGTTTACAGAATGACTTGAACATAGCACATACAAACACCAATAAAAATTTTCTGCTTCTTGAATAGGGAAAACTTACTACAAATCCAAAACTTCTTAGCATATAAGCAGACTAGGTTACCTAAAATTGTCATTAAAAAGAAACGTAAAAGGGTGGATTTGTCAAGCCAAACATTAAACATGTTTTAAAGCCATGACAGTCAAAATATTCTAAATAGCAAAGAAATTATTTGTCAGATAAATTGTAAAATATAAATAATTGTGAAACAGACCTAAGAATGGACATCAAGTACATTCTAAACCTGCTGTCTTGGCTAGCTTCAGCTGTCAAGTTGACACACTTGGGAAGGGAACCTCATCTGGGGAATTCCTCTTTCAGATTGGCCTGTGGTCATGTCTCAAAAGCAGTTTTTTGATTGTCGGTTGAAGTGGGAGGGTTCAGACTACTGTGGGTGATACCCCCACCCCGTGGGCAGGTACTTCTGGGTTTTACTAGAAATCAGGTTGAACTCAGGCCAGAGCAGCAGGCCAGTAAGCAGTGTTCCTCCATGCTCTGGGTGTCAGTTCCTGCCTCCATTTTCCTTCCCTCAGTCCCTGCATGACTTCCCTCAAAAATGGACTGTGACCTGGAAATGTGAGATGAAATAAACCTGGTTTGGTCAGCATTTTGTCACAGCAGGAGAAACCAGAACACGTGTTAAGGAAATTAATTACTCAGCACATGAAATTAGGAAATCGGCTAAATGTGTGGGGAAGAAATCTATTTTCTCTTTTGATACTATACCCTAAGTAAATACTAAAAATATTGAAAAGTGAAGGAAAAAACAAAATTAAAAGGAGAAAAGAAAGATCCAGTTAGAAATTAGAATATAATGCATTATCCTCATTACATAATTAAACTCGTCCATGGTGAGTTAACAGTAAAGGGAGGGCTATTTCAGGAAAAACAAGTGCTAAGTCAGAGATGGCTCTCCTCAGAGGTGAGGCTTCTGTCACTTCTCCACTTGTGCTGGAAGAAATGGGGTGATGTGCATTGATGAAAGTTTAACGTATTTTAATCGAGTAAGCAGGTCCATGAAGACTTTGAATTGAATCAAGTCTTCCTTAGGAGAGATCTGGATCACAGGGCCCCTCAGACTTCTCTTGCTGAATACTCCTGAGTCCCATATCTGCGACTTGTACATGCTCATGGAAGCGTTGTCATTTATTTCCGCATTTTGTGATTTCATTGTACAAATTTAATATATGTGTACAATGGATTGTGAACATATTAATCCCTTGTCACCCTCTCTTTTCCCAGCCTCCTGCCTACGTAGCCTTCTTATTCCCAACTAATTTCTCTCCTAACTTCATGTCTTATTTTGGGAGGCAGATCTTGTGCAGTTGTCATAATTGATGTGTCTTTGTGATTCTAAGGGCCATGTTATATCCAGAAGAAAGTGTTACATGGAACTCATCCTCCAGTTCTTATGATCTTTTGCCCATTTCCCATGCTGTACTCTGGATCTCAGAGCAGAGATGAGATATCCAATTTATGGATGAGCATTTGGCAATCATTGATGCATTTGACTTATTATGCATATTAGCTATCGCCTACTGCCAATAGAAGCTTCTCTGGAAAAGGTGGATAGCAGTGCTACACTTCTAGATATCAATACTTAGAAAGCACTTTGGGTACATATCCATTTAGTCTAATATCAGTAGTAAGCTCTTCCCACAGCCTGCAATATCTCCAACCATAGATTTTTGCCCAGGCTTATGTATTTCTTTCCATTGATCAGTTCTCAAATCGAATGAGAAACTAGCTCGTTACACCCCAAACATTTGTGCCACTACTGTAACTGTGGGAACACCTTGGCTGTTGGGTAGGTATTATAGTACTCAGGATCCACAGATGAGTAAGAGTGCTGATGTCTTTTCACCCCACCATTCTGCATAGCAACTTCAAGTACTATCAGTATTAGCCACTTTCTTATTTCCAGCTTGGTTTATATGTGTTCTACATCCCAAGTGTGTGGTGTCTTCATTAATAGTGTCTTACCATCTAGTTTTGGTGGGTGACTATGGGAAATAGCAATAGCTTTTACTGTGTGAGGAGCTACTGGTAACTTCCTGGTCAGAAATTCATAGAGAGATATCCTACATGAGGCACTGGAATTTTTGTTTAAAGATTTATGGTTTCTGGGAACAGCATTCTCCACCCATGCAAGTACCTCTATTTAAACATTTTTCTTTAAAATATTTCATTTATTATTTCAATATTTTATGTGTATGAGTGTATTGCCTACAGGTACATAAGTGCACCCATGCCATGCAATGGCCATGGAGGTCGGAAGAGGGCACTGAATTACCCTGGAACTGAAGTTAACAATGGTTGTTAGCCACATGTCATGAGGGTGATGGGAACTAAGCCCAGGTCCTCTGCAAAAGTAGTAAGCGCTCTGAACCACTAAGCCATCTCTCCAGCCCCACAATTTTCTTTATAAATACATGAAAATGCATTGATATATAAAAAATTACATTTACAAATAAGTTTGTGTACGTATACATACACATGCTTACATGTGCAAGTAGGCTTGTTTAGGTGTGCAGCATGCTCCCCAGTATGGAAGTCAGAGAATAACTTGAGATACTTGGTTCATTCCTTCCACCATGTGGGTTATACAGATCAGGCTTGATAGCAATCTATTTCCTTGGCCCTAATTTTTTATTTAAAAAACTTAAATGTATGGGGGCTGGAGAGATGGCTCAGCAGTTAAGAGCACTGAGTGTTCTTGTAGTCATGGAGGCTACCAACCGTCCTTAACTCCAGTTCCAGGGGAGTCCAAAGCCCTCTTGTGACCTCTTCGGCATTGCACAACACAGGTGCACTCACATACATGCAGGCAATACACTCATACACATAAAATAAAAATAAAATATTTACTAAGAAACTTACATGCATTGTTATCTTGTAAATTAGTAGCTTACTATACAGCTTTCCACTCTACAGTAAGTTTGGCTAAATCAACCCTCTTCAGCTCCATCGCTCCCCCAACGTATCCTCCTATCCCCTCTGCGTTTAAACTCTTTCAGCCCAAGTATTTTCCTCCACTCTGCTTTTTCATAGAGAATGACAGTTTCCTTATAACTGAACAGAAGCTTCTTAGTTTCGTGAGATCTCATTTGTCTATCATTGGCCTTATTCCCTGAGTGACAAAAGCCCTATTAAAATGTGTTTTACTATCCTTCTCCAGAATATCTTTCCCCCAGTACATCTCATGGCTCCTTTATTGCTCAATGGCCTCTTTTTTAATCCAACTTAAATAAGAAATCTTAAAATTCAAAGCTGTTTTCCACATATGAATGACCACCTATGGCATGTGTCTTTCTGGGGCTGGGTTAACTTTCTTTGCATAGTATTTTTCAGTTCCTTACAGTTTCCTACAAATTTTCTTTTCTTTAGTGCTGAATAGAATTTGGTTGTGTCTATCAACCACTTAAATATCCAGTCATCAGCTGATGGACATGAGGCTGATTTCATTCTCTAGGTATTGTGAACAGAGTGGCAATGAACATGGATGTTTAGTTTTAGAGTTTTTGGTTCTTTGTATCTGAGACTTATGGTAGTTCTAGTTTTAGTTTTTCCAGAAACACCATAAGTTCATATTCCAACTAGCAGTGAATAAGGACTCCCCTTTCCCAAATCCTCACCAGCATTTTTGTTATTTGTTTTCTTGATAATAGCCATTTTGACTGGTGTGAAATGTCAAAGTAGTTTTAATATGCATTTACCTGGTGGCTAAAGATATTGAACACTTATAAAATGATTTTTATCCATTCATATTCCTTTGTTTGTTAAAACTGTTCAGCTCAGTATCCTATTTTTGAGTGGGTTACTTATTTTCTTGACACTGAGGGTTTTGACTCTGTGTATTTTAGATTTTAGTAGTCTGTCAGATGTATAGATGGCAGAGATTTTCTCCCATTTTTAGGATGCCTTTTAATGAGAATGACAGGCTCCTCATAACTGAATAGAAGCTTTTTTAATTTTATGAGATCTCATTTGTCTATCATTGGCCTTATTCCCGGAGTGATAAAAATCCTATCAAAAAGTCTTTATTTATGCCTATAATTGTAGCATGTTCTCTACCTTTTCTGCTAGCAGTTTCAGAGTTTCAGGTTTTATGTTGAGACCTTTAATTATTTCAGTAAAGTTTTGTGCAGGGTTAGCGACAAAGATCTAATTTTCATTCTTGTAATATAGACATTAATTTTTCCCAGACCCACTTGTTAAAGATGCTGTTTTTTTCTATAAGGTGTGTTTTTGTCATCTTTGTAAAAAATGTCAGGTGAGTGAGTTTCTGTGGGCTTGTATATGGGTCTTCTATTTCATTGATCTACCTGTTCTTGCGGCTGAAGCATGCTGATTTTAATTCCTATGACAAAGTGGTATACCTTAAAATCATGTATCTTAATACCTTCACCGTTGATCTTTGCTGAGAATCATTTGGCTATCAAGGATCTTTTGTGCTTCTATATGAATTTTAAGATTTTTTTCCTGTTTCTGTGAAAATGGCACTGGGATTTTGATTGGGATTGCATTGAATTTGTAGAATGCTTTTGTTAGGATGGCTATTTTACAGTATGGATTCTTCTGATCATGAGCATGGAGGGCATCTCATCTTGTGATGTCTTCCTAAATTTCTTCTTCAAGGTTTTAAAGTTTTCATCATAAATATTATCCACTTCTTTGGTTAAATGCATTCCAAAGAATTTATTGTTTATGAGGAATTAATGGGATTATTTCTCTGATTTTTTTCTCTGCATATTCATTTTAGGAATGAAGGAAAGCCATTGACATTTTGTGTTAATTTTGTATTCTTACACTTAGCTGAAAGTGTTTATCTCCTGTAAGAGTTTTCTGGATGAGTCTTCAGTGTCTCATATACATAGAATCGTGTCATCTGCAAGTAGGAATACGCTGACTTCTTTCCTTTCTATTTGTTCCCTTTTTTATTTCCTTCTCTTGTATAACTACTCTAGCTAAGACTTCAAGTAACACATTGAATAGAGTCGAGAGAGTGAGCATCTTTGTCTTCTTCTATATGTTAGTGGGAATACTCTGAGTTTTTCTCAGTGTAGCATGATATTGTCTATAGGTTGTCATAAATCCTTAACTGTAAGATCTGTTCACTCCAACTCTAGAACTCTCAAGGTTTTGATCATAAAGGCATATGGATTTTTTCAAAAGCCTTTTCTGCATGTATTGATATTGCAAGGAATTAATCTGGATCAGGTATTTGGGGGATTTAAAAATTTTTTTATTTATTATTATTTTTATTTTATGTGTATGTGTGTATTGCATGAATGTAGGTAAGTGCACTTGTGTCGTGCAATGCCCGTGGAGGACAGAAGAGGCTGTTGGATACCCTGAAACTGGAGTTATGGACAGTTGTTAGCTGCCATGTGGGTGCTGGGATTTGAACCTGGGTCTTCTGCAAGAACAGAGTTCTTAACCGCTGAGCCATCTCTCCAGCCCCCAGGGGAGTTTTTAAAACCTATTAAATCTCATTGACTGTTATGGGTCTAAGCTGCTTATCTCATCTTAAATTTCGTAGGTCATATGTACTTAGAAATTTATCCATTTCCTTCAGATTTTCTAATTTGAAGGAATATATATTTGTAAAGTATTTCACTGTAATTTTCTGAATTCATTGGTACTTTTTGTAATGCACCCTTCCATATTTAATCTTGTTAATTTAGATCTTCTTTATCTTTGAGTTAATTTGTATAATTGTTTGTCAATCTTTTTTTTCCCAAAAACAAAAACCAAAAACAAATCTGCATTTCATTGACCTTTAAAAAAATTTCTGCTTCATTGATATCTGCCTTGATCTTGGTTATATTTTTCCTTCTACTACTTTTGGGGTTGATTAGACCTTGTTTTTATAGTGCTTCAAGTTGCATCATTAAGCTGTTCATTTGAGAACATTCACCTTACATGGCTATTGAGAACTGAATTTGGGTCCTTGGCAAAGTAGTATGGACTCTTAGTCACTGAGCATTCCCTCCAGCCCTATATGTCCTTTTGGATTCTTTCTTTGGCATTTATTCCAAGTGACTATCATTAGAGGCCATTATTATGGGATTGGTAATTTGGGGGAAGGGCAGGAACACACATTGCCTTGTTTTTTTCATGTTGGATACTTTGTACTGGTATTTGCACATCTGGAGTTAGTTTGATTTGGTATGAGCTTTGGGGCCATTTGCATTAGTGTTTGATTCTGTGCTTGGTTTTTTACCACAGTTTAGCTGGTTTGGATCTCCTATGCTATTCTTGGAGTACTGCCAGTGCTAATTTGTAGGTGGGTTAGTTGAGGTGATCCAAGTTTGGCTAGATGACTGGCTTTCAAAAGATGAATGGATCATATCAAGAGCTTGTGGATGATTGGGGGCCTGGGTCACACCTCTCTGAACTTTGGTGCTTGCGTGTATATGAATCTATGTGGATGCCGTTGGAAGATGGGGACAAGCAGCAGCCTGGGGTCACATGTTTCTGACCCCAGAGAAATGAAGGGGACAATGAGAGTTTTCACTGGTCTGCTTGAGAGTTGAGGATGGGAAAGAGCCTCGGATCAGGTGTCTCTGAACTCACAGAGGTGCCAAGACATTGCAAGTTCATGTGTATCTTGGGTGGAATTGGGAGAGGGAGGAAGCCTGGGATCATGCATCTGTGACCTCAAATAGGTGCCAGAACAGTGCAACTTCATACAGATTACAGCAGGAGCTGGGGATGGGATGATGTATTAAGGAAAAGAAAATGTTTACATCCCCAAATGAAGTGTTTAGAGACAATAAACAATAATAGTCATTTACATAATTGAAGCTATTCTACAAATACGTTATATTAGCCTGGATGACAGATACCTGGTTTCTTGCAATGTCATGAGAACATGCAGTTTATACAGGTTACTGCTAAATATTGTGGATATGACTCACCGTAGACTATAGTTTTTTTTCCCCCCACTCTTTTTTTTTTTTTTTTTTTTGTCTTTTTGAGGCAAGGTGTCCTTGTAACCCCAGCTGACCTGGAACTCACTATGTAGACCAGGCTGGCCTCGAACTCACAAAGACCCACCTGCCTCTGCCTCCCAAGTGCTGGGATTAAAGGCACGCGCCACCATGCCTGGTCTTCCCAATCTCTTTTTAAAACTTTTTTTTTTTTTTTAACATTTTTATGTTTACTAATCTGTTTATTTAATTTGTGTATAGGAGGCATGCATGCTGCTTCATAGGTGTTGAAGTCAGAGTACACCCTGCAGGACTTGGTTCTCTCTTTCTACTATGTGTGGACTGGGGCTTTGACCTTAGCTCCTCAGCTTAATGGCAAATGCCTTTACGTGCCAAGCTCTCTAATTTCTTGTCTCTTTTATTCTTTTCATGTATCTGTTTACTTCTGCTTACAGAGACTGCTGTTGTAGATTCAGTGCATGCCTCAAAAGTGGTAAGTTTCTACTGATAAATTGTAGATTTGAAAAGATAAACTTTTAAATATGTATCAGTATTGTAAATTTTGTTGTCAAATATTACCACACAAAAAGTACTGTGTGGTACTGAAAACAGTTCAAAACAAAATAAAAATACTTCTTTTGTTATTACATAAATGTGAAGAAATAGTCTTGTCAACTGTGTAAAATTATTTAGCATTATACAGTGTAGAATATACTGTCATTCAAAAATCCATCAACAGGCCTTATGTACACTGGTATCTACTATATTTCATTCAAAAGATGTTTAAAGTAGAATTGCTTACATTAGTAAAGTGAGAAGATTGAAAGTAATAAAGTAATTCATTTGAGTGTGACTTAAACATCAATTTTCATGTCACTTTCTAGAGGTGAAGAAGAACTGTATTTTTAAAAAATTGAAAAGATAAAAGTTACTAAATAACTGAAAATCAGATTACACATGAAATTGTTTATTTTTACAAATTACCAATATTTCCAACACTAAATTTTATCTATGTCTATATGTGATCTTATACATATGTGCAAAGACACATGTGAATGCAATGAAATATTGAGTACTTTGTTCAATTGGGTAATATGTGCAATGTAAGTATGGAGAAGCTTAGAACAAATGGATCATTCAGTTTATGATAGCTTACAGTATAAAACAACAGAGATATCAGAGTGAGGAAAATATGGATGTGATAACTATACAATTACCATTTACATGGCTTTAAAAATATCAGATTCATTAAATACAGATAATATATCATATTTGAGCATTGTTACTTCAACATTAATATTTAATCCTTAATATTGATTTGTTATACTCTTTTGTAAGTTTTATTCAAAAAGATCATTATCTGGTAAATTTCATGCTTTCACTTTTTGTTTAACAGCCAGACTGTGACAAGTATGCAAGAAATAATTTTTTTTGCACCAGAGAAATGGATGAAATCTGTGCAACCAATGGAAAAACTTATAACAATGAATGTGTTTTCTGCAGTGAAATGTTGTAAGAACATATGACTTAAATACTAATTCTTGAAAGTAATGGAGAGACTGTCAAGAAATGATAGGAAAAACCCATGTTTCTTATAACTGAAACATAACATACAAAAACAATTACTTTCACTAGTAGGCCACAGGAAACTGTTTTTCACTTTTCCTTAAAGTTCTAACTTGTAACCATAGTTTGTGTACTTGATCTATCAGTACAACTCTGATAGTCTGTAGGAGTACCAAATTAATTAGTTTAGCTTAATTTTTGTGAAATGCTAGCAGCAGGCCATTACACATTATACTCATGAAAATCAAAAATTCAGATGATGCTCCAGTTTTTTCTGTTGCTACGACAAATACCATGATCATAAAGAACAAAAAGGAGGAAAGGATTTATTTCAGCTTACAGGTTGGTATACATCTTTGATGGAAGTCAGGGCAGGAACTCAAGCAAGAACTTAAAGGAGAAACCATGGAGGAATATTACTTACTGGTTCACTAAGAGGCTTATGCTTAGCTTGCTTTCTTATAGTGTGCAGGACAACTTGCCCAAGTAATGGTGTTACTCACAGTGGCCTGGGACCTCCTACATCTACTGATAGTAAAATCCTGTCCACTGGCCAATGTGACCTAGGGAAACTCTCAAATTAGAGTCCCTTCTAAGGTGACTCTTGACATTGAGAGATAAAGCTAACTAGGACTCTCTACTACTTGCCAACTTGACACAAAAGCATCACTTTTGTCCTCAAGCTTTCATTTAATATCATAACATAAAGCACAGTATAACATTAAGGAAGTCTCTTAACTGTGGGATTTGAAAACTGAAATACAATTTAGACACATCTCATTCTTGGACACAAAACAATTATACTTAAGCAAACTAAAAATTCAGCAGTATTAAATCCAAATTCAGAGGCTCAGTGTTCAACATCTGAGACCCACTCATCTTGTGTGGTCTTCTGGGTACAGAAGGGTTAGGCAGTTCCACTTCTCCATCTCTGCCATCCACAGAACACACAGCATGTTTTCTAAGCTTAGGCCAGCTCCATATCACACTTAATGCTGTCCTTGGATGATGTTTCATGGTCTTGGCATTTTCAATATCTCGGGGTCTCCTTTACAAATGAGGCTACACCTTCACCACTGACCTCTATACAGGGATTCGAGCCCTTCCAAATGTTCCCAGGCTTCAGCTGTTTCCATGATCTCCTTAGTCCTGCAGGCTTCATACCTTCAAAAGCAGCAGCATGTGGGTGAGTCTTATATAGTCAACCTGAAGCCAGCTTGAGATTGCCTTGGGGACCATGAACTACAACTTTGGTGTGTTGATCCAAAGGAAATTTTCCTATTGTTCCAATAAAGAACAAAAGATTTCATCTCAGTGGTGCTGACTTACTTATCATGGCTAATTCCTTAGCTCAATCTGATCAGCACACACAGGTTCTTAATCTTAAATATCACATAAATGGCCCCTATCCCAAGTCTCTATAGTATATTTGCTTAGTTCAGAAACCTCAATAGTCAGACATTCACTGTGCGCATTTCTCTCATCATCTTATCTCCCAATCTCCAGCAAGAATGGCCCGTTAAGCTCTGCCCATGACACTCAATAGGTTTTTCCACACTAAAGTTCCAAATGCTTCCACATTTCTCCCGAAAAAACTGTCCAAGGCATAAAAACCACAGGGTTGGGTTTATAGCAGCAGCACTCCACGCCTCTGGTACCAATTTCTGTTCCAGTTTCATGTTGTTACTATGACAAATGCCATGAGGAAAAACAACCAGAGGAAGAAAGATCTACTTCAGCATTCAGGTTGCAGTTCATCTTTGAAGGAAGTCAGGACAAGAACTCAAACAGAAACTTGAAACAGAAACCACAGAGAAAGGTTGCGTACTGGCTTACAGGTTCAAACTTAGCTAGCTCTCTTAAACTGCCCAGGATAACCTGGTCAGGGAAGGGTACTGTCCACAATGGGCTGGGCTCTCCTATATCAGTTAACAATCAAGATAATCCTTCTCCAAGATGTGCCCACATAAACAAGAAATCTCACTTGAGTGCCCCTACTCAGATGAATCAGGTTGTGTCAAATTAATAGCAAGCTCACTAGGACAGATGATCTATGATAATCCCCATGATGTAGCATAATTAAACAAGAATCTTGTTCTAAATATAGAGCTCCCTAAATATAGAACTCTCACAAGTCATCATCTAATGCTTGGATGAATTTCTGTACTGAGCTACCTTTTCTGCTGAACTTGTTTACAGCCTCTAAATTTCTATTATGTGTCTGAGCAGTCTGGGGAACTTCCACCCAAACTCACTTTCTGCTCTATCACTGTGGATCATGTCTCTTTTTATTGCACAGGGCATGTGTCATGATATTGTTCTGTGAATGCTAGTAAAGTCACACATAGATTCTTTTTCCATTGATTCTGCTATCTTCCCTCCTTACTCCACATTTTTTATCTCCAGTGTTTGTTTCCATTAAAATTTGTGTATACTTAATTCCAAAATTGGATTTTGCTTCTAGAGAAACATTAGGCACTTTCTAATACTTTTCTCTTTTTGAGTTGGACATGTCCTAAGGCTAAATAAGAATTAACATGTAGGAAGAATCAAGTTTTCCCAGATTAGTAAAAGGGTCCTTCAAGAGTGGGAGATAGGAATAGCTCAGCTGCATGTAGAGGCTAGTAAAGTCTACACACTTAGCCATGTTCAAGTTTCTGCATTAAGAAGTACATTAAACAGTGCTCAGTGAGTTGAAATGGGTAGTTCAATAATTTATATTTTCTTCTACCTTCTTTATGTACAGGAAAGCTAAGAGAAAATTTGGTTATAAATATGACGGTCGTTGTGATGGAAAACCCTTTCCAAGGTGATTCCTACAATCAACTGGAATCTTCTCAATCAGGGTCTTGAATTCCTATCCAATGAATGAGGCCCTCTATAGTTCAGAATGTGGAATATGAGATACTGAAGAATCTTTCCAACCTGTGAGCTTGTGATTGATTTTATTTCCATTTTTTTCATGCTGATATCAAACTCTGTTATCTTAACTTTTTGTTTTATATTAAATCCAGTGTGATTTATAAATGTTTCATTCAACAAAATGTTAAATAATTTCATCATCATTAAGAACCTTGTCTTGTGAGAGTGATTGGTTAAAGTAAATGAGTATTTTTGGTAATTATAATTAAAGAAAGCACGTTGAAGGATCAGTAGCTAATACAATACTTGAATGCTCATCAAAAGTACAGATTTTGGGGCTCATCTCTATTCCCGAGAGTCCGTATCTCTGTAGAGATATTTGAAAATATAAATTCTAACAAGTACTTTCATGTTATTTTTAAGAGTTTAGGATTAGGAATGATAGAACTATAACTTAAATTCTAATACACAGCATATGTCTCAAACTGAGTGTATTGTAATATTCAAAGATATTTTAAAATATCTGAGGATTAGGAGAAACAAATTTCACTTTCAATTTTCATTTTCTTTTTTGTTCCATCAGTCAAGATTGATTGTAAATGTCAGGCAACTCTGTTTTCTTTGAAATAGTATAGTCGTTTTTTTAGCAAAACTGATACTTCTACATTTAACAAGATCAGGCTTTACTTGGGTTGCCAAATATTCACTTATAAATGGACTTTCTTGGCAGAAAAGTTGATTACTGACTGATAATTATCAGTCTACCACAAGTACTTGCTGGCCTGCTTTCTTTTTTAGTACAAATTTCAGCACCTGAAAGAGTGATCTGTGTGGGATCTGCTTATTCATTTTCATGCCTAGTATTGATTGTAGAACTATCCATTGGAATGTGTTGTTTGAAGCCAAGAGTGATGGTTGTATGCCTTTAGTTCTTGTACTTAAGAGAGGGAGCTAGGAGGATCACCAGTCCAAGGTAACTTTTGGCCATATTAGAAGGTTGTGGCCAGTTTAGGCTACACGAGACCCTGTCTCAAGGGAAATAAAAAGAAGAAAAATTTAAAAATTTGGAGCCACATTTAAAACTGTTCATTCAGGTTCAAACACTTTAAAAATTATATATGGCATTATTATAACTGAAAAGTAAAAGAGGCAGGTTGATAGAAAGGAACTGAAATAAAATTATGCTTCAGACAGTTTGTTAAAAAAGAGTTGAGGCTCTGAAGGGAGAGAGCAGGCCCCCAGGTCCAAAGATGAGCTTCATTTGAAGAGATATAGCATCATGACTGTAGGAAGTCATAATAGAGCCTTGAAAACGTGAAATTTATATGAAAACAAAAAAGACTCTGTTAGTCAAAACAACACTCAGCAAAAGATATTACCTAAGTAATTAATATCCTTCTATACAGAGGTAAGGAAGTGATCCATTAGGAAGCAGAGAAACACTCCGTGAAGGTAGAGATGCCAGACTTTTTCCTGTCTTTGGTTGCCTTTGATGCTCAAGTGAAAACTCAGTGTTTTTAGCAAGGGCAGTTTCTGATTACCTGTCATCATGAGTTAAATGTTTAATAAGTAGTCTAGCTTAAATTTTTTGATGAGAAAGAATGAAAAGTTTCCAGGACTGTTAACACTGTTAACAGAGATTTAGGGTGAAAACCTGGGCCCTGCCTACCCGTCCACTATATGCCAATTAAAGTCAGAAGTACTGTTAGTAAAATTCAGATAAAAAGATTTATTCAATGTGACCACATAGAGAAAAGGATCAAAGAAAGGGGCTCTAGTTAATCCCATGTCTGTCCTAGAGGGCAGTGATTTAAGGCTTGCGTTTAAAAACAGGACAAGAGATTTTCATATTCTGCAGTGTAGTTTAAGGTGTGCTGTGTCCAATCATGGTGTCAGCTCTGGTGTATTCTGCAAGTTCTCAGAAGTGTGTGAAATCTCTTCTCGAGAAGCAAGTTCCTCCTTTAGCTGGCACCATATGTCAGCTTTTTCCTTCCCCCAGCATGAGACTCCTTGGGAGATTTAGATTTTTGAGGCTCACTATGTCCATTGTTTGAGCCAAAGTTTTATAGCACACATGTTTCTTTTTAAAATATTTCCTCTCTGGCTAAAGAGATTACTACATGACTGCTTTTGTTTCAGATGCAACTTCTTGTTTCTTTCTTTAAACTTACGTAAAGAGATATTTTGTTAAGCAAAAGTATTTCATAAACATTAAAAAAATCACAGAAAGGAGCTATCAAATATGAAAAAAGAGAGGTTACAGATTTGAAACACGAGTTTAGTAAAAAGGATTAAAGGATAAAAGAAATACTTTTAAATAAGAAACTTTAACTTTAAACTTTAAATAAAAAATTAAAATTAATTTTTTAAAGTAAAAGAGTTTTACAAAATAGAAAAGCAAAGATGACACTAAAATGCTTAGGTACATCAGAGCAATAGGAAATATTAAATTTACAAATAATATGTATATGATTGTTTGGCACAATTAAAGGTTATTAAAACTTCTTCAGGTCTGTTCCAAAGGCCAAAAACATCAGAAGTATTTTAGAGCTTGTATCTAATCCTTAAAAGATTTTAGGGTTACCTCCTCAGAGGGGGGGAATGTTAGAGTAGCCAAAAGCCCCATAAAAATAAATAAATGAAAGAAGAGAAAAAGAAAAAGAAAAGAAAAAAAAAAGTGATGGGGAGATATGGGAATGTTGGAGGGTAGAGAGTGGACATGGATTTGATCAAAGCACCTTATATGCATGCATGAAATTCTCAATAAAGTTTATGTAAAAGTTAAAAAAAATCTCAGGTCAATATTAAATGCACTGATATAAAGCTAAAGTGTAACTTTCTAGTTATAACAGTGAAGTTTTACATTTCCAAAAAAAAAAAGAAAAAGAATTTTGAAAACATGTCTTAAAGAACAAATATTTTTAAGTTTTATCACTTTACTGAATAGGTCATTTAAACTCTTATGCTTAGATTGTCCACATGCCTCCAACTTAAGAATTTGGATATGTCTGGGTGATAAGCGTGTATGATTGCCCATTGGATTTAAGTCTCCCATTGACAGAAAACCACCGCTTGAGCAATAGAAAAATTATTTGGAAGAATTATTCCTCCTTGAAGAAACCTGCTCAATTATATAGCAACAATGGAACTTATTTCAGTGGACAAATATTTAAATCTATTTGTAAAATATGGCCTATTGTACAAAATTTTTATTGTGTATATCATCCTCAGTCCTCTATATTGTTGATTAAATGAATAATTGACACTAAAAATATAATTATCAAGTGAACAAAAGCATTTGACTTCTTTAGCCAAAGACATTATCATAAGTTCTTCTACATCTAAGAACTTATCTTCTTATAAATTAATTACTGGGCATCTTATGAAAAGAGGGAAAGAACTAGATGAGTCATTTATGAAAAAAAGAGACATTACACACCATTATCAAAGACTTAGAAATTTTGTCTGGGATATTCAGAATTAATAACAGTCTTTTCCTAGTGAACAGCCATCAAACAAGGAATTAAACAAAATAGAGCTAAAATTGGTTGATTCATCTAATATAAGCATACCACCCTAAAGACTCTATTTTTCCTGGATGGAAAAGACTATCAAGGACTTTCAACCACTTTCTGTGCTGCAACAAGTCAGATTAAGCTTTTACATTCAAATTTCTTATGCCAAATTTATGCTACTTTTTTTCTGGGGATAAATTCAATTGGATGTCAGAAAATCTGAGTGATTTGAAATTTCTTTCCTGAGATTCCTTAGGCCCTGCCATCTTAGCTCTCAAATTTTCCCTGTCCACAGGGATTCTATGCCATCCTGGATTTTCATGCACTTCATCTTGGCAGAGTGAGTCAATCCTGGCCATCTCAGCTCTCAGCCCAGCCTGGGCCTTGATGATCCTCCCCAGCCCCAGACTTACATCTGGGAGCTGGATCCCTGAGACCTCTGTATGCCCTGACATCTGAGCACTTTTCACTCCAGATGTATCAACTCCCACACTAATTTACCAACCAATGTGCTAACATAGAAGCTCCATCCAAACCTGCTGATCCTGGACCCTGTGCAGTCAATCCTAAAAGGAAATTCAAAAGTTATACCTCTCTCACTGCTTCAGGCCTCACACTTACTCTGCTTATCTAGTTATACACTCCCCATGTTGTCCCCCTTTGTACCTGGATACCCATGGTCTGGAATTGGGTCTAGACCTTTGTTCTGCTGGGCCTATCTAACCTGGAACGATCTTGTCTTGCCAATAAAAAATAAAAAGTGGGAACCCAAAGCACAGATCAACTAACTATTCATGCCTGATCAGAAAGTATCCAAGCTACATCAACAATAAAAACAGAATCAAATTTCAACCAAACAAAGGCAGGCTAGAATTTCATAGCAGACACTCAACCAACAAAAGAAATCCATGTGCTCAGGCCACAATGTAAAAACAAAAGTAACATGAAAAACCAAGATAAATATGTCCCCACCAAAACCAACCAGTCCTACAGAAGTGTACTACAATAAAAACCACTCAGAGGAACCCCAGGATGTAGAATCATGAAAAAAAATCATAAAACATGATAAAGAAATTCAATGATTTTTAAAGCATAATTTTAGGCATTTATTTTTAGTAAATTTTAATGGAAAAAACTCCCCATCTTTTCCCTTCCTCACCACTCCTAACCAGGATGGGATGCTTAGACATGCTTCCTGTCAGGGAGCGCATGGGCTTTTTTCATGCAGACCCATTTACCTCTACCAGAAATGGTCTGGCAAGCCCCCTGTCATCAGTCCTTACTCTTGGAATCATCTATGTCCTTTTGGAGCCAAGGGAAACTGGAGGGCTGGCTTGAGATAACTCACACCACTGATTCCTACTATACTTCACACTCAACACACCACACACACTCATGGTCATGGACTTAACCTCATGACTGGCACTCTAGCATATAGATGGAAAAGTGTGGTATACTTCTCACCTTGGCTCCCACAAGAGCATGATCAGCACAAACAGCAGGAGTCCATCAGTAACTGACACTTGGACCTCATTCTAACCCTCT